GGGGGTCCCGGCCGCGCTCACCTCGCGCAGCAGCGCCAGGCGGCCGCCGCGCAGCTCGTAGAGCTGCAGGAGGCCGCAGCCGCGCGGGGCGCTGCCCAGGCAGAGCAGGCGCGCGCTGCGCGGCACCCACTTGCACTCGAAGGCCGTGTAGCTGAGCGCCTGCTGCGCGTGCGCCACCAGCTGCGGCCGCTCCAGCGCCGCCGCCGACATGGCAGCGGAGCGGAGCGGAACGGAACGGAACGGAAAGGGAGGGGACAGCACGGAACGGGGCGGAGCGGAGCGGAACGGGAGGGGACAGCACCGAACGGGGCGGAGCGGAACGGCACACCGGAACCGCCGCCCCGCCCCGCCCCGCCCCGCCGGAAGCGCCGCGCCCCTCCCGGCAGCCGCCGCGGCGCCCACGTGCTTCCGGCGCGGCCGTCATGGAGGCGATGGAGGAGGCCGGCGCCGAGGGCGCCTTCACGAGCGTCGCGGCCGGGCGCAGGCGGCGGAAGCGGCGCGCGGCCCGCGGGGAGGCGGACACGGCCATGGAGGCGGAGCCGGCGGCGGAGGCGGAGGCGGCGCGGCCCTGCAAGCGGCCGGTGCTGCCGCCCGCGCCCGCCGAGGCGCTGCGGGTGGGTGCGCGGGCCCGGCGGGGCGCTGCGGGCCCGGCGGGCGCTGCGGGCCCTGCGGAGGGCGCCGCGGGCGCGGGGCCGCCGGCTGACCGCCCCCCCGCAGGCCGGCGGCGCGGACACGATGCGGGTGCCGGTGCCGGCGCACAGGTACTCGCCGCTCAAGGAGAGCTGGATGAGGATCTTCACGCCCATCGTGGAGCACCTGCGGCTGCGCGTCCGCTTCAACCTGCGCACCCGCAACGTCGAGATCAAGGTGGGGCCCCCGCGCACCGCCCACGGGGCCCTGCGAGGCCTGCCGAAACCCCGGGAGAGACGGGGAACGAAATAGTGCCTGCCAGCCACGTTAACTGAACTTGGTGCTTGGTGGGCTGCACAAGCTGCGGGTTTGTCTGCCCTTACAGGAGAAAACGGTTCGGTTGTGAATGAGGCCCCTGGTCTGAGTGTTGGTGCGCCCTGCAGCCCGTCTCTTAGGTATTTAAGGCTCCTGTTAGGAGCTGATAGAGGGTCTCGTAGGCACCCCAGCGCCTTTGTGCACGGCTGCTGCTAGGAACGTGGTTGAGCACCGTGTAGGTGTTTGGGGCTTGCCCGCAACAGCGCAGGGTACCAACAGCAGCAGGTACTTGCTCGTTGTGCCCACGTCATCACCCGGAATGAAGACATTCCTCCTGTGCTTACCCGGAGCAGTTATCTCAGCTGTGTATCCAAAGCTTGGGCCGTGTTCCTGGTGTGTGAGTAACTGTGTTAGCACTATTAATACATAAGGTGTTCAGGTGTAATAGGAAGATACAAGCAGTGGTGCTGCTTTTGCTTCCCACCCTTTCAAGCCTATTGCAAACAAGGTGGGGATGGCGGAAAGGCCGCTCTGGGCACGAGGTTGAGGCTGACGTGCCAGGAAGGGAGGTGGCGGGCCCCSGTGTCCCAGAAGCAGCGGGAGGACAGGATGGTCCCGTGGCTCTGCTGCAGCCAGGAGGCACCTTCGGGCAGTGGAGAGGGAACATCTCCTGTGTGCAGCTTTCTGCACCTTAGATCTTTGCTTTCAAGCCCTGATTGTGCTCGAACGGTCCCAACCTGCATACCAAACTTGTCGTGCAGACGTGCCCRGAGACGGAGGACATAAGCGCCCTGACGAAAGCAGCCGACTTCGTGAAGGCCTTCGTGCTGGGCTTCCAGGTGGAGGTGAGTGCCCGCTGCGGTGCCGAGAGCTGCCTCTCGCAGGTGCTTTAGCTCTTACGCCTTGCCRCAAATTACAAGAAGAAATTAAAAGAAAAGATATTTAGGTTCTGTTTTTTTTTTTTTTTTTTAAAGCTTGTATAAAATTGTTTATGAGTGAAAATCTGATGAGGAGAGGGGAGGCCCCTTGGGCAGGGCACTGGTGCWGACCTCCCTGCTGTGCAGCCTTTGCCCTCTGCTCCTCACAGAGGGAAGAGTCTGTGTTGCTACTAAAGCAGCAGCAGGGCTGGTTTTAGGCATTTGACACATTAAGTGGGGAAATATTCTTTCCTTTATGCAAAGAAAATGCATAATATATTGTCTTGCAACTCTGTATTGTGGTACTGTAACAATCTGACTGATAACTGATATGTTAATATTTTAGGATGCTCTTGCACTCATCAGATTAGACGATCTTTTTCTAGAATCTTTTGAGGTTACGGATGGTGAGTACTTCCTGCTGTGATGTTCTAGCAGTTGCCTATCAGCTGTGAATATTTTTTCCCTTCTTCCTTGTCTTCACTCCAAACCAAAATAGCTCCTCCATAGTCAACAACAGTCAATTATTGTCTACGCGTGTGAAGATTCAAAGGTCAAGTCCTCCTTGAAGGATGTCCTTACAACACCCCCCCAAACTGCCTGCTTAAAAAACACCTTTGCCAAATGAATTATCTGATTGAATTTTCCTCATCATAGAAGACAGTTATTTAAACTTCCCTGAAGGTGTCCTGGGTTTGGGGGAACAGTGGGTGGGTGGTTGTGGTGTTTGTGTTTTTTTAACCTATTGGGGAAGGAGAGGGCACCGTTCAGCCCACGGCAGATGCCAAAGGACAGTGCTGTCCAAGTCTGATCTGTTTTGTTCCTATTTGGGTTAATTCTCTCTCCCGTCAGGTTTGGTTCTTTCTTCTGTCAGAGCTGCTTCATACCTTACACTAGAGTTCTGTGGGAAACTTTACCAGGCACTGTGGCCACGTAACATTGGATGTTTTTCACATCTATTAATATATGTGAATATAAGTGTGTGCACATATATACACACACATATATACATTTCAGCTCTAGTAATATTGYTTTAATAAAATAACTCAGTCATTTCAGTCACTTGCACAAAGCAAGCGTTCCAGAACTACAGCTGATGTTTTCCTATTTCTTCTCCTCTTAGTCAAGCCTTTGAAAGGAGATCATCTGTCAAGAGCAATCGGGAGAATAGCAGGGAAGGGTGGAAAAACCAAGTTCACCATAGAGAATGTGACAAGAACACGGATAGTCCTTGCTGAYACGTGAGTACAGGCTTTGCTCCTAAGAGTGAGCAGTTCCTAAGCTACTGTACTGATCTCCAGAACCCAAGAATAACCTGCATTTTTGGAAGTTCTTGTGGAACAGCAGTAAGGCAGTGATCTAAAGGGTATATTTAATGAAATCTATGTGAACACATCTTTGATCTGTCCTTGCAAGACTGCTGCTGGTGTCACCAGTACATCCAAAAACTGGATGATTCTACACAGTGTAAGAATTTCTTTGTATGAATAATCAAAGTTGGATCCCCCAGCCCTATAAAAAAATTGTTAAAGTGCCCTATAAAAAGAGCTGCCAGTGGTGAACTGCCCATTCTGAAATCCAGTAGAGAATTTACAAGAGATTTCTACCTCATTATTATTYTTTATAAAAAAATATATTTTTTTCTAATGCAACGGGAGAAAAAATTTGTACAGTGAYTTGAAGGTTCTTGTTCGCCCCTGACTTGCAGCTTAGATTCTCCATTAATTGTGTTAATTTTTTTGTTCTCCAGTAACTAATGCTACATTATCTTTTTTTCCCCAGAAAAATTCATATTTTGGGATCTTTCCAGAACATAAAAATGGCACGAACAGCAATTTGCAATCTAATTTTAGGTAGGTCCCGTTACCTCACTTCGTTGCTTGCACAACGACAGACTCRTTGCAGTTAGAGGCTGTTGCAGGGGCTCTCCTTCGCCCCCTTTCCCTCACGTGCTCATGGAGCAGGGYGACTGCTGCCCATGGAGGCAGCGAGTGCAGAGCCTTGGGCACAGACACCTCCCTCCTGCCTGCGGGCCAGCTCYGACGCTCTGGTCCCATAGGAAAGCCCCTGGGTTCCATGAGCTCCCCGGGGCCCAGAGCTCTCCTGCGGCACAGGTGCCAGCCCAGCTCCGCAAGGAACAGGCTCCGGTAGCCCCTGGCCCAGCAGCAGCCCAAGGCGCTGCTCACAGCAAGAGACAGGGAGCATCTTCCTTACCTGTCCTCCATGGGGCGCACACAGGAGCAGGACAGCAGAACTTTTCTCCCCTTTTTTTTCCTCCCCTTTTCTGTAACATGACGTGGCGACGGCTGCAGTGACCGTGTCCCTTTTTTTGTTGCAGGGAGTCCTCCCTCCAAAGTGTACGGCAATATTAGGGCTGTGGCCAGCAGAGCAGCCGAAAGGTTCTGATGCAGAAGTCCTGCTGCTCCAAGAGCTGTGGCTGGGAAGCTCAAGGCRGGTTTTGGAGGCCTGCACTTACACAAGGACCTGCTTCACGTTCTATGGGATTTGGAAGTCCAGAAAAATGCAGGACTATTTATGCAGTCCAGTTCCCTTTGGGCATCCCAGCTCAAGTAGCTTAAGTCATTCTGCTTTGTATATTAAAAAAACAAAAACCAACAAAAAATTTCTGAAGTGGCTGTGTTTAAATCAGAAGCAGGATTGAACAATTCTGCTTAAACTTATCTTCACAACAGAACACTCAAGTGATTTTCTAACTCTCAAATCATTTAGTCACCCTTCTCAGGACTTAGAAAGCCTTCCCAAGGCTTTCCCATAAAGAAAATGGCACAAAGTGCTCCTAACGTAGAGCCCTGGATCAACACCATTCTGGAAAGAGTAAAGCATAACATTCAGTGTTTACCTGAAGACTGCCCAGAAGCTTTAGGAGGAGACCATCCTTCCGGCTGTCCCTCCTCTGAGCACTTCTGAGAGGAGCTGGAGTCACGGGAAGTCTGCTGCTGCTACAGCAGCATGTGGAACAAAAAAGAAAAAAAGTAGACATTAAGCAGGAAGTAGTGCTTCCTGTTTCTGGGAAGTTGTTCCCAGAAGATCAAGGTGTATTTTCATCTCCCCACRCTCCTTTTGCCCAGGGAACCCTCAGAAGCTGCAGGGAGCAGCCCCCGATGCCAGCGCGTCCCAGAACAATCACAACCACTTGCTGCAGAACAGGAAGAGGAGGATGCACCAGGAGCTGCCCCATGGAGACAACTRTCCCATGGGGACAACTGTCCCATGGGGATAGCTCCAGAGCCCCTCTTCTTGCCCTGCTAGAGTTGGCCCTAAAGCTCTTTCAAAAGAGTGAAACCAAACAGAGAAGGTAGAACAAGACTGAGAAACACTATCAGCTGTGGTTTAGTGGGAGCAGTTTTAGAGCCCAATCCTTTCAAGTCTTCAACACCTAAGAGCTAACACTGTTTTCTAAGTTATCCAAGATGCCCAGCTCCCTCAAGCAGCCCAGTTCCCACCTAAGCAACTCAGAGTAAAGCAGCGCACCTACCCAGAACAACCAAGGAACCAGGAGCCACCTTGCACCATTATTCCTTACCTTGAAGGGAGCACGTGAAAGTGAGCCTATTGTCACCAAAAACTGCCCTGCAGGGGGAGAACACGACAGGCACATGACTTGCAAAACCCCTTTTCCTAAGTGCTGCCTTTGGAGATCCATGAAACAAGTGAGACAACACAGAGACCAAAGGCAAACAGCTCCCAAGTTGCACAAGGGTTGTTTCCACCTGCAGAAAAAGCAGTAGCCTTCCATGCTCCAGAGGGAAAGCGTGGCACATGAAGAATTAATGTCTTTAAAAAGAAAGAGGGGGCTTGGAACACTAGAACAAAGCCTGAAGTGTTTAGCAGACAGTCTGCATCTTGTATAGCTTTTTCCAAATATAAAATTCTTCAGAATTTAAGATGGGATAAAGAAATTATGATCAGCAAAGTTTCTTTAAACCTGGTGAAAAGCTATCTTAAGTTTAAAAAGAAACATTTAGGAAAACAGACCTCAAGTCAAGATTCAAATATTTTATTTTGTATTCATATAGTATGAAGGTTCTTATAGTTCCCACAACATATGATGGAGCATGCAGAGGAAAAACTAAACATTCAACAAAATCATTTCTTCCGCACACAAACTTAAAAAAAAAAGGAGAAAAAAAAGAGGAAAAAACCCTCATCCCTCCCCTTCCAACCCCCTTAAGGAAATAACATTAGCACTATTTTCTATAACGCCAGCCAAGATATGCACAAGCAAGTAAGAGAAATTGAAAGCATTTGCTAAAATGTTTGTAACAAATACTTATGTACAAAAAATTCACAAAAGACTCGTTCCCCCTTGAAGCAGAGCACATGGCAGTTGACACTGGAACAGATACAACCACGGCCGGGATAAGCCACGTAACTGATCCAGGGGAGGAAAGTTACATGTAGTGGAGAGTTTTTGTTTTGAACATGAACATTTACCAAAGTTTGGCAACATTGTCTTTTAAATTATGCAAATTATGTAAACAAGAGGAACATTTCAAATCGATCTACATGCAAAACTTCATGTCATGCAAGGACACCAAGCACCTGGATTTCTCTCTCCCAGACAGAGCCCATGATGTGCAGCACTCAGTTGAAGGAACAGCTATGGCAGACAGGTGCTCGATTGAATTAGGTTGAGGAAACCTGCACTTTCCACTGCTGATTATAAAACAATTTTCTTTTTAAATAGAAAAATTACTATACAGTAAAGATGTACTGTCCTAAAAAAACCTAGCAAATGTTTTTCTTCCAGCCAATAGTACCATTGCAGAAAAGGGAAGGGATGATATAAAGTCATAAAACATGGCTCGCTACTTTTATATCACACAAATATATCAAGTTACCATTCGTTACAAATTATGATATGGACACATCTAGAAAAGAAAAATTCTCCAGGCAAAGGGCTGGAGAACTGCAAGAGGTATAAATTTAGATAGCGTGAAGTTTTCCTCCTCTATGGCATAGGTTAACAAGATTTTTCCCCCTGTATGAATCCTATATACATATATATAAAATATTACCAGCAATTTTCTGCTACTTGTAGTATTCTTTAAATGCAGAGGGGAAACTATCATAGTCGAAACAACAGAATTTACTGGCAAGAGCATTTTATAATCTAAGTACTATACAAAATAAGTAGATGGGAATCCTGCGGTTAATTTCRATCCTAATTTCATTAAACTAAGTACAAGAGAGAGTCGTGAATGCACTGAGTATCACGAGCAGCAGCTGTTCTAGCGTGAATCCCGAAGAGCAGGCTTACACTTACGCAGGGATTCCCAGGTGACAAGATCTAGTGGCYGGGAAGCGTTCTGCAGTCACTGCGCACGCGAGGGCTAGTTCTTGGCAGTAGCATTAAACTATTCTCATATTAAGTAGAACTAAGTTATTTAGCAAAGAGACACAGTCCCTGGTAATATATTAACAGGTATAAATAAACTTAGTCTCCTGTGTTACCAAAAAAAAAAGTGTAATTAAGGTAAATTAATAAGAAGCAATGCTTTGTCAGCCAGTCAACATATAGAAACATCTGAACAGTCACAGGAAAAGGAAGAAAGTTTGCCTAACACCCAGTTAAAATTTTACATTCTTCTACTATATATATAAAACTGTGTGAAATAAAAGTAAGGATGTATATCCATATATTGAACTGTTAATATTCTGCTTGGCACTTTGTACTCTAGTTCCGTTTCTGAATCAAGTATATTAAATTAAAGCCCATCTAGCTACTACATATAGAAAGCTACATATATATCTATATATAAATACACACACACATATATATATATAGATATTTCCTTGTTATAAAAGATGAAGAAAAATAAATTAAAAAGCCAACCCCTTCCCTTTCTCCACCACACTGATATGCTCTTTCAATCTTTGCTGTCCTTCAGAATTTAAAGTGCTACACTGAGTTATTGAGAGAATAAAAGTTCAATAACACTTAGTTGGCTTCATGAGGCTCATGTTGGAAAAATGTGGCTTCACAGAGAAAAATACTTCCATTTAAATACACAGAGAGCATTGCTGGACGTCTGGAGCAGATCTTCAGAGATGGAGAAGAAAGCAAAAGTGTTGGGTGGTGCCCTACAGAGTCACACATCTACCACCATCTTTTTGTGGATATCTAGGCCTCCTACAACCTAGGAGAAAAATACATGATGACAAAAAATAKGAGACTCAGAAGGCAAAACACAGAGCACACTTTACTCAGGAGCTAACATTTAATTATTATTTGACCTACACGCATCTCCAGCCTAAGCCGAACGCATTTAGCTACTGCGAGTACCGTGTGATGTGGATTAGGCAGTATCCAAGGTCACTCTTGGTACAGGTTACAGGTACCAATGGAGCACCTGCAAAGACCAGCGTCACTCCACCACCTTAACCTCCGCCTTCTCTCTGTGTGTGTGTGTGTGTGTGTGTGTGTATATATATATATATATATACATGTGTGTATATATATATACACACACACACGGCTATAAGTAGAGACTCCAGCAGAGTAATAGAAAGAAATCTCGCTCATCTAGGGGTGTCTGCAAGCTGCTATGATAGGGAGAAACTTCCATTTCTCAACAAGGTATCACCAAAATAAACATGCAGATAATTATAAACTACTTGCTTGAGTTCAAGTTGCAAGTTCCCAATGGTGATAAG